AAAAAAAAAAAAAAAAGGTTGTGACCCCTTAGCCGCATCAACCCCCTAATCGACCCCCTAGCCGCATCGACTTCACAATGAGGTTGCATCAACCCCTGGGGGTCCATATCGACCACTTTGGCGACCCCTACTTTAAACTAATGAAAAGTAGCCATAATTTCTTGTTGTTTGATTTTTCAAAATTTATCTTTTTATATAGAAACATTTTAATTTTCATTAAAATTTGATTTCAAACATAAGTCTTAAATATTTTAATGCAGATTTATGTAAAAAGTGGTTTAAAAGTCATTACTTAGATTTTATCTTTTTGTATATTCATTATAGAATATAAACAAAGAAAACAATTAAAAATTCAGGATTCTTTTTCTTCTTCTTCTTCTGATGATGATGATGTTGATGAAGGATGCCTGTTGCAAACAGAAGATGATAATTTAATGAATGAAAATGATAAGCAAGAAGTGGAAAATCAGATGAAAACAGAAAATCAGCTTAGTCCTCTATCTGATTACAGTTCAGAATACGAAAATATTGGAAGTAAAGTTATTTCTGATGCAGAAAATTCAGAAGATTATCATAAAACAGTAAATTCTAATTTCCAAGATCAAGAATCATCAAATACTCAAATAAATTCTGAGTATACAGTATTGTTGCATGAAAATGGAGAAATTCAAGTAGAAGATTCTTCACTTTTGGATAATATACTTGATTCGATAGACAGCACTGAAAATTGCATTCAGAATACAGAAAACATTTCTAATATGGATTTGCCTTTTACTGATCAAGAAGAAAGTGTCCCTAATCAGCTGTTGAACAATTCAAGTGAATTTGACTATGTGAATGACATCAACTTGGATGAATTCCCTGCAGTAAGTCTAATATTTGAGTATTATTATTATAGTTACTGTTGTGATAATAAACATAATATTTAAGTGGAATACAGATGCCAAGTGCTACGTTGAATTAATATTAAGGCGTAAATAAAATAATTATTTTATTATATTTGTATTTTAGCATATGCATCTATGTTCAAACCTCTTTGACTGCTTAGCAACTATTAAATATTGTTGCTTTGTGTAGTGTGATGCAAATGTTAAGATGTAATATATCTAATCTCTTGTGTAGTATACTGGGTCAGAAATATGCTGTACAACATGTGTTCTATTGGGAAAATTAACTCTCAAATGATCAGAAATACAATCCTACCTCTGAGGCAAAAGACTATCTCCAAAAATATTGAAAATGAAGTTAAGCATTTTGCATACCTATTTAGTATCCTTTATCAATAATGCTCAATATTTACCATGTAAAAGTTATTTAATACAGANGAAAACATTTCTAATATGGATTTGCCTTTTACTGATCAAGAAGAAAGTGTCCCTAATCAGCTGTTGAACAATTCAAGTGAATTTGACTATGTGAATGCTATCTGATTACAGTTCAGAATACGAAAATATTGGAAGTAAAGTTATTTCTGATGCAGAAAATTCAGAAGATTATCATAAAACAGTAAATTCTAATTTCCAAGATCAAGAATCATCAAATACTCAAATAAATTCTGAGTATACAGTATTGTTGCATGAAAATGGAGAAATTCAAGTAGAAGATTCTTCACTTTTGGATAATATACTTGATTCGATAGACAGCACTGAAAATTGCATTCAGAATACAGAAAACATTTCTAATATGGATTTGCGTTTTACTGATCAAGATGAAAGTGTCCCTAATCAGCCGTTGAACAATTCAAGTGAATTTGACTATGTGAATGACATCAACTTGGATGAATTCCCTGCAGTAAGTCTAATATTTGAGTATTACAGTAGAGCCTCGATTACCCGATCCTCGATTAACTGCCACCTCGGTTAACTGACCGCCCTAGTCGGCAAATTTCAAATGTCTGCTAGTGATGTGGAGCTACAATATTTGGCTATGTCTGGCTACTTTAATATTATTTTTACGTGTTTTAGCTGGCAACATTCATTCGACCATGAAAGGGAGCCAGTATTTAAACCAGGCTTAATTTTCTAATTTTTAACTTAATTTATAAATGAAGATGATAAAATTAATTGATAATAATAAATGGAATAACATGCAAACTTAATGAGAAGAAAAAGTTGCAAGAGGCATCTGAATACAGTTAGAGCCTGCTGTATATCAGGGCCATGTTGATAGATGAGGCAGAGGAGCGAGTTCCTTCGGAGCCAAATTGGAAGGGATATTAAATAAGCAGAGTATTGTAGAAATATAAGTACAGTACATTGGTGCTATTCTTAGGCCTACGTTGGGAGCCAAATTATTCAAAACAGTCTCATTATATATTGAACAGTGCCATAATTAAAAAACATAGATTATTACTATAGAGTTAATTTGAAGCATAACAAAGTTGACAATGATGTTACTTTAAACTAATGAAAAGTAGCCATAATTTCTTGTTGTTTGATTCTTTAAAATTTATCTTTTTATATATAAACATTTTAATTTTCATTTAAATTTAATGTCAAACATAAGTCTTAAATATTTTAATGCAGATTTATGTAAAAAGTGGTTTAAAAGTCATTACTTAGATTTTATCTTTTCATATATTTATTTTAGAATATAAACAAAGAAAACAATTAAAAATTCAGGATTCTTATTCTTCTTCTTCTGATGATGATGATGATGTTGATGAAGGATGCCTATTGCAAACAGAAGATGATAATTTAATAAATGAAAATGATAAGCAAGAAGTGGAAAATCAGATAAAAACAGAAAATCAGCTTAGTCCTCTATCTGATTACAGTTCAGAATATGAAAATACTGGAAGTAAAGTTATTTCTGATGCAGAAAATTCAGCAGATTATCATAAAACAGTAAATTCTAATTTCCAAGATGAAGAATCATCAAATACTCAAACAAATTCTGAGTATACAGTATTGTTGCATGAAAATGGAGAAATTCAAGTAGAAGATTCTTCACTTTTGGATAATATACTTGATTTGATAGACAGCACTGAAAACTGCATTCAGAATACAGAAAACATTTCTAATATGGATTTGCGTTTTACTGATCAAGATGAAAGTGTCCCTAATCAGCCGTTGAACAATTCAAGTGAATTTGACTATGTGAATGACATCAACTTGGATGAATTCCCTGCAGTAAGTCTAATATTTGAGTATTACAGTAGAGCCTCGATTACCCGATCCTCGATTAACTGCCACCTCGGTTAACTGACCGCCCTAGTCGGCAAATTTCAAATGTCTGCTAGTGATGTGGAGCTACAATATTTGGCTATGTCTGGCTACTTTAATATTATTTTTACGTGTTTTAGCTGGCAACATTCATTCGACCATGAAAGGGAGCCAGTATTTAAACCAGGCTTAATTTTCTAATTTTTAACGATACAATAGCGACGATTATTATTTTAAAAAATTTTTGTTAGGCTTAACATCGATGAAAATTCAACGCAAAATAGGTTAATAGTGATATACTAATATACTAATTACATGGGATATAATAATATACTACACTAATAATGGATTTTTTCATACTTTTCGGTTATCCGACTTTTCAATTATCNGATGTATTTTGCATTAAAACTGTCACAAATTTGACATAGACAAATTACAAACTTGGGTGAACTTTTTTGCTGATTTGCCATTGAAGGTGTACCCGATCTTTACCCGAATCTTACACTAAGCGCAACTGTCCTGATTCCAGGCCAATAAGGTTTTTATATTGATTGGTCTAGAATTCAGTGCCATCTTTAGGGCAGGGCCACCAGGCTGTAGGGAGCCCCCTAATCCGAAAGTAATAAAGTTACAAATAAAAAATAGATTAATTGAAATAAATTATTAAAAATATCAAATACTTTATTTCTCCTGTACGTAGTTAAAAATGACCTTAAAACTAAGCAAACTTACGAAATTTTTCTTCAGCATTTTGATGCTGTGAAATTCATAATTAATTTATCGAAATTTACTTTAGTAATTATATCCGATTCTGTATTCATAATAGAAAGATTATTTAATCTCGATTGAGACATCTTATTACAATGAGCATTTTTTATAAATTTCAAAACAGAAAATGAATGTTCACCAGAACAATTTGTAATCATTACAGTTAAAAATATTCTAGGACTGATCTCTATACTAGGAAATGTAGACGATAGTAAGTCCTACTTTATTAAAATGAATGCATTTGTTCACTATATTTTTGTCACAAACATCTTTATCATAAGTTTTTGCGAAGTTCTCACAAGAATCTTTTATTTCACCATCATTCATATTTTGAAGTGAAGTAAAAAACTGAAAATCATTATTAATTTTTTATAAACAGTTACCCTTTTATGTAAATTTGAACAAGGAGAGTCAATAATTGGTAAAAAATATTTCAATCTTTATTTTTTTCTTCGGGAGTATGCTGAGTGTTTTCTCTCAATCCATCATAACGTGTTCATCTTACAGTTCTTTCTCTGATTTTTGGTTCTGAAAAATCAATTAAAATTGTTGAGAAAGATTTTTCTTTTCAAAAAAATCATTAAAATCTCTTTTTTCAGATTAATATGAT